TATATATATATATATATTCACAAAATAAAACGCTTATGACTTCCATGTATATATTCATGTTCCTTTTTTACCTTTATACTCCTTGGTACTAAAACCACAATTACTTATCTCAGTATCGTACACACACACATACATACACACACACACACACACACACATATATATATATATATTTCATAATTTATATATTTTATTAAAGCTTTGGAGTCACATAATTGTCGCGGATATTTTAATTGATGATGTCAAAAGCAAAAAAATAAATAAAAATTTTTGCAAAATATATTGAAATCAAATAAGATTTGTGGTCAATTGTCCAAATTTCAAAGATATTTTAAAAATTTACCTGTCGCCTCAATTATCAATAAATAGCCATAAAATCACATAGTTAAAAGATTGTTCAAAGTCACGTTAATTTTACGGTTATTTATTGATTATTAATGCGAAAGTAAGTTTCCCGAGAATTTTATAGATATGTTTAATCGATCGCAAGTATTATTTCATAGACATTTTTTATTTCAACATATTCTAAAGTAAAAGAATCTTGTGTATATTTTCTCACTTCTGACGTCACTAATCAAAATAATCGACTAAAATCGAACCAGGAGTCTTAAGATGTATCTTTGGTTAAAAAATAATTTCTTTGTTTCATCCAGTACAAGTAATTTTTTCAGTCACTAATTAAAATGAGGAAGTGTATCTTCTCAAAAGAGAACCAGACGAATTTACAAGTTCAGTCTTTCGCTCGTTATGCGTTTATTTCTTATTTTCAGTTTTCAGTTTATGGCAATAATTTGTGGCAGGTTAATAAATGTAATATTTTAAAACAGAAAAGTCAATAAAATCAGATTTTCGAGTAAGATTTGCATAACTTGTTTAAGAATTATTGTGTTTTAAATGGTTGGACACATACCAGCGAGAACTCGACCGTAAGCTCGCTCGGGTGTAATTTTGATACTATGCAAATTAATTATAATGTTGGAGATGCAGCCGATATATTGTGCCTGTGAGGTGCTACCTCGTAGTCCTTTTCCCAGAGCCGGGTGGCCGCCAATAAATACCGGATGTTTCGATAAAACCCTGACTATGTTTCTACCGCCGACGATTGCGGGTGGCGCAGCTTTGTGATCGACTGACAGCAACATTGCGTTCTTACGTTTGCTGGCTGTGAAAAAGATAGAGAAAATGTAATATATTTAACTTATGTAATGTATTTAACTTATTTATTTAGAATATTAAAGAAAGTACCTAAATAAACTTAACTCAGTATATTATCTGCTTACTGATTAATACAAGTACGTAAAGATGCGTTCTCATAAGAATTTTATCGATAAAAGAAGCCATCCAATGCTATAAAAATTGCTGTTTATTTTACCGGACAAAACAAGAACGCAATTAATTCAGAATCATTATAGTAATAAGTAAATATTTTAATTAGAATTGTGGCGTAATAAATCCGTATTTTTTAAAATTTTTTAAAACAAGCATATTTTAAACATATTGCGTTGTAATAGCATCACAAAATATATATTAAATGTTTACATGTTATGTTGAATATCTCTGTATATGAGTATTTGAATAACTTAAGGATATATAAGAATAATAATTATGTGATAATTAAATTTGTAACGTTTGAGAACTGTTGGTATCTCGTTTTCATTATAAGTACATCAACAAGTTAATTGAAAAATTACTAAAATTTTCAAAATATTCCGTACACACATTTAGTTAAAGCGATAATACGACACTGTACCTCGAATATTATGCCAGTGGCCGTCGCACAGGGAGTTCGGTTTCGTTGGTACGAACGAGGTCTCGATCGAGCCTTTCTGCGTTTTCACGAGGAATTTGACAGTGCCGTTGAACATCTCTAAGACAATAAAGTCTCTTTTACCGTGCACTGACAGCAGATGCCCGGATGTTGAACGTGGTTTTATATCCAGTTGAATGTCGAAGCCGCGATCTGCGTTGAATCGATCAGCTGAAAAAATTCAACGATTAAATATTTATAATTCCGTTTTTAAATGTCCAAAATTATAACCGAAATTTTAATTATAGAATGTAATTTGTTATTTATTTAACTATAGTTGCTATATGTACAGGGTGTGCCAAAATTGTGGAAACGGTCGAATATCTCGAAAAAAACATTTTTTAAGGAAAATATTTCAAACAAAAGTTGTAGGGTTTCGGAAGATCTATTTAATGATTGTATTAATTTTTGTCTTGGGTGGCGTTCAAGGTCAGGTCAAGGTCACGTCGATTTTTTTAAATAGAAATCCCCATTTTTTATTACATATTCTCGTAGCTTACCTCGAGAGCTTTTCAAAACATTATAATAAGGTTATTTTTCTTTAAGTACTTTTCGAGTTAAGGCTTGAAATTTATAATACCGACAACATGCAAAAAAATTCTGTAGTGACAGCTAGAAACTTTCTGTTACACCAGGTTCAGTTGCAATAACAGAAAAGTATGTTTCAATAACTGAAGAATTATTCACATCAACGATTGCTTTTGATTGAAGGAACTAAAATTTTCCGTTCCAAAAAAATGGTATCGCAGATGATTATTCTGTTGTTCTCCCAGAGGACAATGGTACATAGCAACAAGAAACGACATCAAGGTTACCGCAGCCGAAAAGATTCGGTTGAAAGAAGTTGAATATTGCTGCTATGGATAGTGATCCGTATTGTTAGATGAGCCATATTTTCGCATATATGCGTTACGATTCGGCAGTGAATGCAAAAATACAGTAAGAATATATCATGGATGCTTAAAGTTTTATCGGACTTCATTCTATATTTATCGATATTAAATTGTATATTATTATACTAATATTATAGTATACTAATATTATAGTATACTATCACATCCCTATAGGGATGAATTTTAAAATATATGTTGTATATTGTCATTTGATGAAACAACACTATTGTTTTAAATAGTATTTTTTAAAAGTTTCTTTCAAAATTTAGTAATTCAATTTGTTTACTTTAGAGTTTCTTGGATATTTTTTATTTTTTTTTTTTGTTTAGATTAATCATTATAACATTCTGTTAAAAATTTAAAAGCAATACCCTTATAGAAATATCATACTAAGAATCATTGATTAATTACTTATTTTCAGTATTAAAAGTACAGTATTTAGTAATATTCTGTGATTCAAATACAGCTTTTAATACTCAAGTATTTCAATATTTAATGTTACAAATCCTACCTTATGATTGATTTCAATACTTAAATATTGATATGTAATACTTCGTCCAGTGATAAAATACTTACACAGAACATTGTCAATATTTAAATACTAATATATAATACTTTGCTAAGTGATGAAATACTTACGCAAAGTACTGTTAAGATTAAAAGTATTAACCCAGACAACATACAATATTAGTAAGTTATTAGATAAATATTTATAAATATTTATTTTGAATTTTTTAAAATATATATATATATATAATAAGAAAGTAGAGTACATCTATTAGAGCACTATTGGATAACATTTTGTTAAAAATGTAAAAGTAATTATCACTGGTTCACTACATTACATCAATATTCATCGCATACTCTTATAGAAATATCATACTAAGAATCATTGATAATTACTTATTATCCAGTATTTTTAATACTGAAAATAAGTAATTATCAATGATTCTTAGTATGATATTTCTATAAG